TTACATAGCACGCAGATGGTCGGCATATAGTGGGGAGCTTGTGATGCGATTCCCAGCTTTCTCTCTCCCTCTCTCTCTCTTTCACATAGGGCGCTTTATGTGAGAGATGGTGTGTGTGTGTGTGTGTGTGCAAGCACTTGGGAGGAGGAGGAGGAGGAGGGAAGGAGGAGGTTGCCTGCAGCATTCTTCACGGCTCTTTCCAATGCCCGATTGACTGTGCAGCTGGACAAAGCCAGGACAAGAGGAGCAGACTTCCTGACGCCAACCCAGAGAGCTCCCACCAGCTCTGGCCAAACCCCACATTGTTTTCACAACCTTATCTGGCCTATACTTACATTTTTTTTTCTCTCTCTCTGTCTCTTCTCCACCCCCCCCCCCCCCCACTCCTTTCCCTGTGAACGTGGGGGTTAGAGAGGGAGAGAGGGAGGGCCACAGCGACAACAAGGCAACCTCACGGGGGAAATCCTTTTTGTGAGGGCAAACAGTCCTTCCTCACAGATCGGTGCACTTTTTAAGAGAGAGTTTGTAAGTTATTTTCTTGGCTTTTTTTTTAAAAAAAAGCTTCGGTTCCCAAGGAGTTGAGGGAAAGACAAGTAACTTGTTTTTTTTTAAAGGGGGGGGGGGGTTGTGTGTGTGCGTGTGAGGGGTTGACATGTTTAGGAGCGTAATTACAATGCATTAAATGTCTTTCAACCCCCAATTTCCAATCTCCTCACCAACCTCCCCCTCCCCCCGGAACAAAATAACGTGCTTTATTGCTAAACTCGAGGTAAAAAAAAACATTTTTTTTCGAAGTGGGGGGAGGAGAGGGAGAGAGAGAGAGAGAGAGAGAAGGGGGAGAGAACAAATTGGCTGAACCGATCATTCTGGTGGCTTTTGTGGTCTTGTAAGCCCTGCAGCTGAAATCCATATGCTTCCTATTTGTGCAAAAAAAAGGAGGGTGTGGGGGGGGGGAACTAGTGAGTTTGACCTCCTTTGCCTCTTTTTCTCTCTCTCTCTCTCTCTCTCTATCTATCCATCTCTTTCCATCCTTCTCTCCCTCCTCTGCCCCCGCCACCAACCTCCAGTAACTTAAGAAATGCAAATGGTGCAGGTGTGCAGACACTCACCACTCTCCCCCCCCGCGAAGGCCGGAGGTGGCGAGCGTAACGACAACCCCCGCGACCCCGTAAACGGTTGTGTGTATGTGGGGGGGGGGTCGGTGAGTGATGGCCGAGCAGCCGCTGCCCCGGTGCGGCCGGCGGGGCCCTCAACTGACAGCCGCCCGTTGCCATGACAGCCGCCTCGGCGGCGCCGCGCGGACTGGCTCGAGGGCCGCTGTGAATGGGGTGACGTCACGGGGCTGGCGCCGGCGAGTCGGCGCGGGGCCGAGGGGACCCGCTCGGCTCCGCTCGGCTGTTCGGCTCTGCTGCCTCGGCTCGGCTCGCGGCCGCTTGTTCCTGTCAATCAATCAGCTGTCGGGGCCATCAGTCAGGCTGGGCAGGGGCTGGCAAGGCAGGGCAGGCAGGGCAGGGGAGGCAGCGGGCAGGGCCAGTGCACACAGCTGGGAGGAGAACACAAAAGGACACAATGCAAGAGAGCCCTCCTGCACCAGATGTGCACAGGACCTCCAGCATCTGGGAACCCGTGTTTTTTTTAAATTTTTATATGTATTTATACATATATTTTGTACGTGGGTTATTATATTGCAGCGTGCCCTCGCATTACTGCACAACTGATCCACGCGAAATCAGCCCCCCCCCCACACACGCACACACACACCAAAAGCTTTTTTTTACTTAAATAGAATTTATTTATTTTTACAAATGCAACTGCATTTGTTTTATTTATTTTAAAAAAAGATACTGATCTCGTGTATGTTTGTGTGTTCTCCCTGTATACCTGTACATGTCTCTCTCTCTCTCTTCCCCCCCCCTCCTATCCCCTCCCCTCGCAGGGCACCCACCAAGATGTAGATACTGTTGTTTGCTTTGTGCATACCGTCACATGATTTGCATTGAAACAAGGTAATCGAATATTTTAAATGCAATTTGGGGTGGGAAACACACTTTCCAGGATTTGGGTTGTGTTTTACTTTTGGATGTCTCTCTCTCTCTCTCTCTCTCCCTCTCTCTCACTCTCGTGAACCAGGTTAAAAAATGCAATGCTTCCCCAATTGCTTCGTTTATCACCCCACATAAATGTGTGATGGGTCCAGATGCCATAGCAATCCCTTCTGTGCAACATGATCTTAAAGGGGGGAGTGGTGGTGGTGGTGGGTACCCAGTCTTCCTGCTGCAGATGAAAGTATCACTTTTGTCAAACCAAGAGAGAGAGAGAGAGAAAAACACTTATGCATCACGATCATGACATGATGGGTGACTTGTTTTGTAAAGTACTTGTGTGTTTTTTTAAAAAATAATAAGTCTAAAATCTGCCTTATTTCATGACGACGAGGCCTTGAAACGCATGAGATGGTGGTGTTGTGCTGTGATTGTGAGGCCATATAGTCCTAATGACTGGAGACAATGAAGCGGTGCCATTGCCTTTACATTAATGACCACAACCCCGTTTTGCAGCAGCTCCACATCACCCCACATTCTCCCCTGTCTGGTGCTGGAGATCGCCATCGTTTTGCCACAGCAACACGAACAGTCCCCGTGTACTCCACTCCTGGTCCTGCGTTTTAAACAAACACAGCGCCGTCGGTCGACTCGATGCAAACGAAACTGGGACATGTCAAACGTTAGCCACGACTTTTTTTTCAATGCCTTTGCACCAAATCGTAACCCCCTCCCCACCCCCGGAATGTGTGTGTGCCAACAACCACTAAGTTCCCGATGAGGTGCATAAACTGTTCCTATTAAAATAAAAAGAAACGCGCGCCAGACACATAGACAGATAGCTCTGCGCTCAGAGCAATTGCTTATCGCTGCGTTGGTTTTTACACGAGAAGCGATTTGCAGACTCCAGATGTGGAAAGCCCTGGACAATTCAGGAGCGGTTAGTAAAATTACTTCACATCAATAAAGCGGTATCGAATTCATTTGGTTAATGGCGGGATCGCTGTGAAGCAATTTAAAGTTCAAATGAGGGTGCCCCAAACCTTCTAATTTATTGTTGGGTCTGTCCAATGTAAGGCAGAGAGAGAGAGGGTGGGGGGGGTGGGGGGGGGATTATTTATCATAAAACACTGCAATATTGGCAAGTCGTTGAAGGTGATTTATTCAACACAGACAACGGCGTCTCGTTAAATATTGTACCTCGTGCGAACAATAAACTGCTTTAATACCACTGGAGGAATTTGCAACGTGCGGTACATCCCATTTGTATTAAAAGAAAACGAAATGATTTGATTGCAATTCATCTCCAGTGCGTGAGATGGTGATGGAAAGTCGGTGCAATTTAACGGAGGGGTATCTGCACCTGAGATACAATGACTTCGAGAAATACTTTCTATTGTGACTGTTTTTATATAAATGTTTTTTATATAGACCGAATACCTGCCCGAATCTGATGTGATTGATGGGGGGGGGGGTTAACCCTCTCGCTGCCAGTGAATTAGCATATTCACTCCTGAGAAAATTCCATAAACATCTTGCGGATCTGAGGTGTATTTTTCTTATCAAAGAGAGACCTCGTTCCCCCAACAAAAAAAAGGTATATATATATATATATATATGCACATTTCTCGTACAATATTGCAAAAGGTTAATTTTGTCGGATCAGCGTTGAATTGATACCTTTTCACATCATTGTCAGGATGAGGAAACCAATTTATAACTACATCGATATATATAAAAAAAAGCAAACAGCACTGGGCTGAAAATTGCCTCTTTGAGATTTTTCCTGGCCGGTGTACCAAATACGTGCTCCCCTTCATCGCTGTGTGTGTGTGTGTGGGGGGGGTTCAAAAAAAAATAACAAAAAAATATTTTATCCAATGCATAATTTAAATAAATCAAAAGAATTAAAGTACCAACACTAGTTCTGAGGGCAGAAGCCAGGAGAGTGGAGCAGAGGTCTGTGCAAATTGCAGCACTTCCCGATTCCCCCCCAAAAAAGGCTGAGAGACGGTTTATAAATAATTAACATTGAACCCATACGATTGGTAATGTGATATCGTTAAATACCTCGAACTACTATCGCTATTTTAATATCACAACATGGGGCGGAGCCAGGAGGGCAATCCCCCCCCTCCCTCCCTCCCTCCCTCCTGGATATCAGATATCTTTTAACAGTGCAATGTTGGGATGATTTGCTTTGCTGTGGGATATGCAGGAACCTTGCACTCTTTTTGGTCGCTTCTTAAATCGTGCAACAACAAAAAAAACAAGTTGCACCCTCTCTGGCCCTGACAAACCAGTTGCACTGGATACGCACGGCTCGGGTTTTTTATTTACAATGCTAGGATGCGACCCCCACCACCACCACCACTACCACTACCTCCCCCTCCCACTCGCTCTCCAGTCCCTTTAAATGTCACTCGAGTATTTGCTTTCTGGCTTCCTGGTCCCCGGCAGTGTCGGTCCGGCCCCCACAGCAGAGGCATTGGTGCAGCAGGACTCGCTGTGGGCGCCTCCCCGCTTTGCAGGAGAGCCAGTGATGGAGTGCATGTGTGCAAGTGATGCTCCCCCCACACCCCCCCCCCCCCCCACCCCACCCACCACCCACTGCAACCAATGAGGTCTGCAGTGGGGGCGGCCCCTCAGCCCAGAGCCCACCATTCTGCTATAAATACCGGTGCGCTGGAAACGGACAGCGGCACAGAACAGCAGCACCGAGTGGGTCCGCCTTTTGCAAATCATAATAATAATAATAATAAAAGAAGCAGAAGAAGAAGGGAAAGGAGAAACGGCTTAGTTGGGTGGGAGGGGAGGGGGGAGAGAGAGAGAGAGAGGAGAAGGGAGTCACAGCAGCAGCAGCAACAGCAGCAAACCCCGAGCAGCGTTACCCCTACAGAAAGCCACAGAGCTTTGCAAATCCCCCCCACCCCCCACCACCCCCCATCCCCCCCCCATTCCCCCCCACACACACACACACACACGCGCGCACCTCCTGCCCGGGATGAAGGCGGTCAGTCCGGTGCGATCGTCCAGGAAGCCAAGCGGCGGCGACGTGGTGCGGGGCCTCTCGGACCAGAGCCTCGGCATCTCCAGAGGCAAAGCGCCGGTCGAGGAGCCGCTCGGCCTCCTGTACAACATGAACGACTGCTACTCGAAGCTGCGGGAGCTGGTGCCCAGCATCCCGCAGAACAAGAAGGTCAGCAAGATGGAGATCCTGCAGCATGTCATCGACTACATTCTGGACCTGCAGATCGCCCTGGACACGCACCCCGCCTCGGCCATCGTCATCCACCAGCCCCCGGGGCAGGGGTCCCCCTCCCGGACCCCCCTGTCAACGCTCAACACAGACGTCGCCATCCTTTCGTTGCAGGTACAGGCACTCACCCTCCCCTCACCCCTCCTCACCCCCTCACCCCACTCCCCCTCCTCACCCTCACCCCACTCCCCCCCCTCCTCACCCCTCACCCCACTCTCCCCCTCCTCACCCCACTCCCCCTCCTCACCCTCACCCCACTCTCCCCCTCCTCACCCCACTCCCCCTCCTCACCCTCACCCCACTCTCCCCCTCCTCACCCCTCACCCCACTCCCCCTCCTCACCCTCACCCCATCCTCACCCTCACCCCATCCTCACCCTCACCCCATCCTCACCCTCACCCTCACCCTCACCCCATCCTCACCCTCACCCCACTCCCCCCCTCCTCACCCTCACCCCACTCTCCCCCTCCTCACCCTCACCCCACTCTCCCCCTCCTCACCCCACTCCCCCTCCTCACCCCACTCCCCCTCCTCACGCTCACCCCACTCCCCCTCCTCACCCCACTCCCCCTCCTCACCCTCACCCCACTCCTCACCCTCACCCTCACCCCACTCCTCACCCTCACCCCACTCCTCACCCTCACCCCACTCCCCCTCCTCACCCCACTCCCCCTCCTCACCCTCACCCCACTCCTCACCCTCACCCCACTCCTCACCCTCACCCCACTCCTCACCCTCACCCCACTCCCCCTCCTCACCCCACTCACCCTCCCCCCCCCCGTCTGCGTTTCTTTTATTCATTGATTTATGTGCTGTTTATTTATTTATTCGTTCAATCGCCAGTCGACGCATTCCGCCCTTTAAGACCGATCGCATTTGCGATGAGAAGTATCCGCGTATTATATAGACACATATGTATAGATTGTGCATATATATATATATACATATATGTTTTTAAAAAAGCAATTGCTGCTGTTGTACATGTTCCACCAACGCATATGCACATCTGTAACGTGTGTTGCGTGTGTTGTGTGTGTGTGTGGGTGTGTGGGGGGGGTTCGGTTATTTGTTATCAGATCTTTTGTTTAAAATGTGTTTTTTTTCAAAAAAAAGAAGAGAGATGACATTTACACCCCCTCACCCCCCTCACCCCTCCTCTCCCCTTTCCTTTCCTAGGCTTCTGAATTCCCCAAACAGTTGTTGACAGACGACAGTAAGGCACTTTGTCGCTGAGTAAAATCGTAAGTGTTATAATCCTATCGATTATTGCCTTCGTACCGTGTCTGTGCTCTCTCCTCACCCACAAAGAAATTCAGGTGTTGTGTGTGTGTGTGTGTGTGTGTGTGTTTGGGGGGTGTGAGGGTGGGATGAGAGGAGGTTCATTTATAACGGGGGGTTATCTGGAGGCGATATCTGCGTTGAGGATGTCCCAAGTCTTGTGAGGTTACCAAATCCAAGGAGATATATATATATATATGTGTGTGTGTGTGTGGGATTCAGTCCCAGATGCTTTGCTGAAATAACTCATCTGCAATGTGGGAGAGGGAGAGAGAAGGGATCTCTTGATACTGGCGATCGCTTTCCTGCGAATAAAGCCTCTAAAGTACAGACTGATGTGTCTCCTCTCCGCAGTGAAGATCACTCCAATGTTGGGACAGACAGTGAGTGAGTGAGTGAGTGTCACTTGTCAATACTGCCACAAACCAAACATTAATTCATGTAGTGTGCGGATACATTCATTCACTGCGTACATACAACATCAGACAGGGCTGCCAAATAATCCCCCCCCCACCCCCACCCCAAAAAAAAATAGCTGAGCAAACCCAAACCAGACAAACGTGGAGTTTTTAAGTTTGTGGTGCAATTGAAATTGACTCGGAATCCACGAGAGTTGGGTTTTTTTTTGGGTGGGGGTGAGGGGGTGAGGGTGAGGGGGTGGGGGTGAGGGGGTGGTCAGGGTTATAAAAGAGAGGCGCTTTGTACAGCCTCTTGTTGGTGGGAGTCTTTAGGCTAATACTGTGTGAGTGTGTGTGTGGTTTCCTCTCTGGCGCCAGTCTGTCCGAAAGGCCTGAGCTATGTGTTTGTTGTTGCTAACACCCCCCCTCTCCCTCTCCTCCTCCTCCTCCTTCTCTCTCCCTCCCTCTTTCCCTCTCTCCATTGAATGTTTTGCAGGTGTTCGCACATCACGAGGCCTGAGCTGATGCAGCCTCTGCCCGGGAGCGCTCACAGCCCCAGTGACCCAACAGCAATCATTGACTGACTTGACTGACTGACTCTCTGATAGATCCTCCCTCCAGCTTCTGTCGCTGTGGGGGACTGATCGGTTATTTATAAACGCACTGACTGCCCTTCCTTCATTTGGAAGGCTTTGCAGTTGTTGTCTTTCTAGATTTATTAATAATATCCCAGACGGGAAGCGCAAAAAAAAACACAACCTCACAAGGAGACATTCATTCGTCGTTTGGGGAGAGAGAGATAGAGAGAGAGACTTTACCTTTGCTGAAGGTGGAGCGTGTGACTGACTGACTGGGGAAAAAAAAAAGAGAGAAATCTTTTAGTTGCTGAATTTTTATTTTGTACGTTTGACAGAAATGTTCCTTTTTTTTGGCTAACGTAGAGGACTTGGCGCCCGCCCCTTGTGTGATGATAGACAACCCCCCCCCACCCCCTTACCCCTTGTGAAACTCTTTAATCGAAAGGGTATTGTGTATAGTAGCAGAGATGTACATTTCTGCAACGATGTAATGCTGTACTTAATTATGCCGAAACTTTTTATAAAAGTTAATATTGTAAATCGTACTTTTTTTATACAAAAATAAATCCGTCGCTTAACTGAATGCAACGTTTGGTTGGTTTTATTGACTTAGAAATGTCATATTTATCGGTAAACTTGGCCGATGACTGCATTAACCGAATATGGTAGTTTTTATAGTGCCCAAATATAAAACCAGGAATGCCTGGTAACCAGCGCCGGCATGTGGGGACCTGGATGGCTTCAGTGGGATTGCAGATGATTCCTCCACAGAGTTTTTGATCTCAAGGCAAATTGACTGACCAACCATCTCGCAACTCCACATCACTGTAAATTGGAATGCATTTCCCGGTTGCATTTCAGGAATGCATTTCCCGGTTGCATTTCAGGAATGCATTTCCCGGTTGCATTTCAGGAATGCATTTCCCGGTTGCATTTCAGTAGCAGCTCCGAATCCTTGTCACGAATAAACACATCCAATCCCAAAAGTAAGGAGACTTGCAATTTTCACCGGGAGCTCTGGGCATCCTTCCAACGATAATAAACACTTCTACAATTTGAAAACTTCTACCTACGTTTTTTTAATATTAAAAAAAAACCCCGCAGGTGGCAGATAACGGGATTTGTTTACAGAAGTTGGGATTCATTTCGAAAGTTTTTGGTTGCATTGCTCGCAGCATCTACAGAGGGAGGGAGGGGTGGGTGGGGGTGTGTGTTCCTGAGTTAATTAACACCACAGCCTCAGTAACCATATTGTTGCTGTGAGATCCTTAAAATATGGATATCTGACCCCAGACCCAGGGACACAACTCTTCTCTTAACATCTTCAGAAAGGAAATTGATTCACAAAGGGGAACAGGGTACATACTCAAGATTCACATCTTACTGGACTGGTGATCTTAAGATTAATATGCTTCTTGATTGATTTCCTCATTACAGCACGAACATTTCTTATTGCAAATGCACTGCACTGCAGACGCATATCTTAGGGTGTTTTTTTTTTCCGGGGTGGAGATCAGTGTCATTCATTCTGACTCCACACGTCAATTACAACCAAGAAACTGCATTTCCGAAGTCAGCAGTTGCTGTAGAAATGTCTTGAATTTTTTTTTGAAAAAAAGTGCTCCAAAATCACCGAAGAAGTGCGAAGTAAATTCATCACGACATCAATTGCGCAGAAGACACAAAAGACAAAAGATCCGCGGTTTTGTTTCGTTATAGTGACCCGATTTTAGGAATAATAAGGTCGAAACCGGTGGCAACATTCCTGGTCCATTAAACACCGCAGAAAAAGGTTTGACTGACAACATTTTACGTGCATTACATTTACGCCTTATTAAAAAAAACACGAATTGCCGCATGAAAACCACTCCTTTCCACCTCCTTTTTCAAAACTGTTGACTTTGCTCCGGTTTACGAGGAATGCAGAGAGAGGGAGAGAAAGGGGGAGAGAGAGAGAGAAATAATTCAAGTGGTTTGGTGTTGGGGAGTGAGTGTGTGTGTGTGTGAGAGAGAGAGAGAGAGTGAGAGCTGATGATGTGGATGTGCGGATCTTTATTGTGAAATGGAAACTCTTATTGTGAAACAGGGAACCTCTCACCTGTGAGCAATAAGACATTAACCTGAGTCTAACAGGTGTTTGGGAGGCGCCGGCGAGTCTGGAGTCGCTGCCCTTCTCTGCCCTTCACACAGAGCCACACACACACACTCACTCACTCACACACACACACACAGCCCCGGGGGAGCACTGCGCTCATTCCTCCACTCAACCTACCAAAAAGTCTCGAGACTTTATTATCCCTCCAGTACAGTACACAGACCGGTTACAACTACCGATGCCCTCCCCCCCCCCCCACCCCCACCCATTCCACTTATTACCTCTTCCAAAGAAAAAAGTCTAAACCATTGCACATGGCACGAATCGTATGAGAGTTTAGCCCATTAATGCTGCATTATTTAGAGGAAGTTTGATCCATTTGCAGTATTTTAACGCTGTGCACACAGGCTGAGGAGATCCTGGTATATTGCATCTGATGCACTATTCAAGTGTGTGTGTGTGAGGGGGGGGGTGTAGGGGGGGGGATACTCTGAATTATTTTTAAGACTCTTTAGCAATTTGGACAGTATGAGTGTTCACATAACACAGAGCTATGCAAGAACTTTAATCTTGTGCTGATCACATTGGTCACACTCATGCACAACGATGAATGCTGCATTTTATTACAATACTGATGTTTCGATCAATGTTAAAAAACACACACACACACACACACAACACCCAATCTGGAAACTCGACTGCACACATCATTTACACAAACACTGAACGTGGAATAAATTTGTTCAATGCTACCCACTGATGCGCGCTGAAGCTTCTTTGTCTGCATTTGATGTCCTTTAATGAAATGGATGCTGGTATATATATATATGTATATATATATATTTCCAGCCTCCAATGTTACCCATATGTTGCTGTGTATGTCGTTGACAAGTATTGGACGGGGATTGACATTGATACGTGTGCATCCAGAACACTCCATCATACTCAAAGATCAGGAGCTGATGCATTTCTGAACATTCTCGCAATACAGTTGAGAATAAACTGTATTAGTCTTTTATGACCCTTTCACCCCTTTTATTGATCTCTCACATGATCAGTTGTTTGATGTCGTGCTCATTTTCTGATTTACATTGCAACCGGTGAATTCCCATATCAGGAGATCTTCCATTGTTTTAACACATATTACAAAAATATATATATTAATCCGACCTGCAGAAGCAACCCTATGCGAGTGCATTCTTCAAGTGTTACTTGTAGTGTTTACAATGAGGCAAAGAACAGGAGGGAAGTCATTCTCAACCACAATAATTCACTGAGATCAGAAAGTTAACATCAAGATTAGATGCGCTATTTTTCCATGACCAGAAGTTGCCACCCAAAGCGAGGTGTGTTTCTCTTATGTTGTGCATTTGAAACCTTTATAACGTCGCTGGTGGTACATATATATATATATACACACACATTACAAGGTACATGCAATACAGTACAGTCTGGGATGCACAACACAGTGCAGTCAGTCCAACGCTGTTAAGTGGCTCACAGTTGGTTTGTGAGAGCAGAGCGCCACCTACAGGACACAGTGTGCACTGTGAATTAGTGAAATTCACACCCCAGGTTTGCACATTGCTTAAAGCTGCATCAAGTATCTACATTAATCTGTCCTCAGGTTACGTTTCAAACGTTGGATTTAGCACCACAAGCTCTGTTTATTTAGGCACATATTATTATTATATTATTATTATTATTATTGTATGTCGAAGTTTTCAAAGTCACCAGGTGAAAAATGAAGGCAGACAGAAAGCAGTAGTCAATTCCAGGGACAGTGTTGTTTTTTTTTGTTGTTTTACTTATATTAGCGAATTAGTGAAAAGAAATAGAACAGTGAGATCATTGAAAATAATATTATTTTATATAATTATTGTTACAAATCATATTTTTTTCTTGTTTTAAACATCACTCTGCCCCTCCTCATGGTGATGGTTTCAGTTGTCAGCTCAGTATTATTAATAACACAGAGGAAGGATGGATGAGGAGGGCCACACTGCCCACTGCTGACCCTTGGGTGCAAGCACACTCCTTTTGTGACTTCTCCCAGTTAGATCATTTACATTTTACATACCCTAACCATTTATGCAGCACATTTGGCCCATGGTTTCTGCTGCGATGGCCCTTTTACAGAACAATCCTTTCAGTTCCATTTACCCACCTTTTTCCCCGTCCCCCTGTGTGTCACATTATTTCAGTGCTGCCATTGTTCAGTCCAAATGAAATCTAACACAGGGAAAGCTAACACTGGCAATAAGAGACTTTTTTTTTAAAGAAGCATCCCCGCTGTCAATGTTTTTATTTTAATTATTCCAGTGAATGCTTACCATCGAAAATAATAATATTTCCCTTGCCATAAAGCAGAGAAGGAGGACACAAAGAGCACAGTGTAATTTCTACACTGAAACTTCAAGGTGTGGAAGCAATGTTTGCAGTGCTCGGTGTGGCAGCCTGTTATCACTAGTCTCCTCTGGTATCTCTGATACTTTTTATTGCCATTTGTGTCAAAGATTATTTTAATAGTTTAATCTGCGAAAAGCCCCTTCTCACAGGAAGAAAAAAACACTGGTTGTTTATTGTGGAGGCTATAGTATAATTATTATTATATACTATATACTTATATTAAAGCTATAGAAAGCCTATGGCTTCCAACTTCATTAAAACGGCGTGAGTTTTTTTTAACATAAACTGGATTTCTTCATTTTACATAAATTGTTTTAATGAATGCTCTTTTTTAAAAATAATAAAAAGAAATGTAATGTCTAGTTCTGAAAATGTTTATAACAATTCTAATTTTCCCCAATTGTAATCCTGAAAACTGACTGCAACAGTAAGTAGCAACAGCTCTGCTGTCAGTTTGTGTTTTAAAATGATTTATTTTATATAGTTATTAAACATACAGGGTGGTGGGTTCCCGGAAAGTATGGGTGGAGAGACCACTGTCTATCTGCCCTCAACTACCCCAAGGTAACATATTTTGGGGATCTGACTGTCTTCCCTTGTCTTTCGCTTTCTCACAGATTAATACAGCCGGCACAGACATGATGGGCTGAATGGCCTTCTTCTGTGCTGTATAATTCTATGATTCTATGAATAAAACAGTAAAGGTTTAAAAGATCTCACCACTGCAATGGTGACATTTCTAAAACATTGACATATTGGAAGTCAAATTCTGCAAGATTGAAACTCAGCACCCAAGTGAGAGATAACAATGGACAATAAAGTATAAAGCACAGTATTCCTGAAAATAAATCAGGAAGAAGTCCTGTCTTCCATCATTCCATTTGTTTAATGATAAAACGCGATGTGGGTACCATTTACCAAAACAGATGGAGGTGTCTGTTTTAACAGCAGCGCCACACTTGTTTGGGGCTCTCACAATGATTTTGCTTTTGAATAGTTTCCACACATGAGTGTCTGAGAAACGATGGGTCTGAATCAGGAGAAAGACCATTGACTAAGTTTTCTAATAGAAGAATTCG